AGGCAGTTTATACCCCAGGTCTCATATTCCTGTCATCCTCTGGTATTAGCAGAATGAAGATTCACTGTATGTATAAATGTACTATGTAGTATTTTCTCCCCCCACTAGATGGCGATCTTGCTTTGCTTTGGGGCATTCTATACAACCTATAGAATTTATTCAAATAAAATGAGGTAGCAATATGCACTCAATTTTTGAGTAAATTTAAACTAATGTTTTTTTGAGTAAAGTATACCCAATTTTAGGAGATAAAATGCATTAAACAAACTAAGCTAAAGTCTACTTACTTTCACAGTCTTATATGACTTACTCAAATTAATCGATGCAACATATTTGTACTCACTTTTTTGGGTATATGTATTATTTTTATGAGCAAGATAAACCCAAGTTTAACAAAGAATATGCCCAGTTATGGACCCTATTTGGCATCTGATGCAAAGCAGCAGCAGACAGGATGCAAGTGTCTTTGCCAGCATGAGCCTGATGCAGTTTCCTGTGCAGCTGGGAGTTTTTCCTGTTTATTCAAATCCACTGCGATGCTGTTGAACAGGGCAACAGTATAAGACCCCAGATGTAGTTAAAACATGGTAATTGTACAGAGTTGGAGCTTGTTGGTATTGGTGAAACGTGTCCAAACCAGCTCATAGAAACTCTACTATCACCACCCATTGAAAGGAAAGCTTCAGAATTCCATGGCTCTTATGTACTGTCATGTATGAAAGACAAAGAACCTTCTGACAGTAAGCTCACATGTATTTGCAAATGATAGGAGGCCACACCTGCTGGCCAAACAAGAGGAGACACAAAGGGCAGCGTAGGACGGGCCCTGACCCTGACATACACTATCACACCTACACAGCTGCTTTTGAGAATAAAGACTGAATCTGAAGATCTACACAAGCGGCACCTGACTCCTGATTGGCAGGGAAGGAAAAACCACAACAGCTGCTTATGAATGTTCTAAGAATGCTTTATGAAGGTGCACTGAATGTTCTATAAATGCACGATGAAGGCATTATGAAGATGCACTGAATGTTCTATAAATGCATGATGAAGGCATTATGAAGGTGCATTGAATGTTCTATAAATGCATGAGGAGTGCATTATGAAGGTGCACTCAAAGTAGGCAGTTCACAGTAAGTTGTCAAAGTAGGCAGCTGCACACCAGCAGGTCCTTCGTGATGTACTCATAGCTGGAACAGCTTGATTTCCAATATGGGCAGGACATTGCCAGTGACGTCTGTGTTGCCGGGTGGTTCCATGATGGTCCAGGAACTTGCTGCTCTGAATGGTCCTCCCACCACCTTCAACATTGTAGCTATTGTCGCATGTTGGACAGCATTCTGCTCACTAGGGTACGCAGTAAAGGAACTACACAGCAAAAGATTAGTAACAGAGCAAGAATAATCACAGCTCTGAAGAAAAGAGCTTTCATAATGGCTTGCTGCCAACCTCCCCACATATTATACCACCAGTCAAACATTCCTGTGTGTTGACCTGCATCTCTTGCCATCTATATTCAAGATGGCACCGCGGATGGTAGCCTCGGTACTGCGCTCTCTCGTACTTTCTTTGTTTTGTTTATTTTCTGCGCGTTTGGTCACTCAGACCACATTACTTTTTCCAGCGGTCAACTGCTAAACATCAGGCAGTCATCTCAAAATAGTTTTTATCCTTTTTTCATAAACCCGCAAAGTTTTCTGGAGATTTTAGTCGGAGGAGCAGCGGCTCTCCGTGGCGCTTGGCGGAGAAGCAGACAAGGGATGCGCGCAAGCGCACTGGTGAAACTGTCAGCGGGGATTCCGCACTGCACTCCCCTCCATTCACCTGGCAAACCTCCGCTCCCTTCCAAACAAAGTGCACAAGCTGCTTCTTCTTAACCGGACCAATAAGGACTTTGCACGTTCTGCTGCCCTTTGCTTCACTGAAACTTGGCTCAATGAACGCACCCCCAATGCTGCCGGGCTTCCACCTCCATCATGCGGACCGCGTAATGGAGCTCTCGGGGAAATCAACGGGCGGCGGAGTCTACTTCTACATTAAC